GTGCGTGACTGGGCAGAGCGCCTTGCTGCTGAGGGCCAGCTCCCACCAGAACTACACACCCCATGTTTGAAGTTCGGTCAGCTCTAAATTGTGTTTCTGTCTGAAAGCTGGCATGCTTCAGGTTTCTTTGTGAGTCATGCCTTGCACCCACCCTAAAACGTAACTGAGCTACGTAAAGGTGGCTGTGGTCTGTCAGGAGCTGTGTGAGAGGAGGGGTGCTCTGCAAGGAGTGGGCCAGAGTGTTGGAGAGAGCACTCCCTGAGGAGTCCTGCTAGTAGAGAGTCAGTCGCATCACCTACCTTGGCTGGATGACAGTGACCCTAAGTTGATTTTACTTCCTTCATCTGACTCTGTGCTTACCAAGCCACTTTCTGATTGAACATGGTTTCCCAGCTCGGCTCTCCTACTGGGAAGAGAATGTGCCAACACAAGTATCCAGGTCTGCCTGGCAGTTATAATTCTCATTGTAAATTAATAAATTGGCATTCTGGGTTATGACTCAGGCTCTTAGGAGTTTGGTTAGCATGAATCAATCTCCTAGGGTCCACTTAACCCTGGAGAACTGGTGAAATCATGTTTCCAAACCTGGGAAGCCCACGGACCAGACCATGGCTGTCCTGACCTTACCAGGTACAGCCACATGTAGGGCTTGGTGGTGCGCGCCTACAGCCCCAGTGCTTTCAGTGGCCAAGGCAGGGGGATTGTGAGTTCAGGCTCATCCTGGGCAACTTAGTGGTTTTGATTTAGTGAGACGCTGTCTCAGAAAGTAAGAAGAGAGCTGGAGATGTAGCTCAGCAAACAGGCTCTGGTTTACTTCCCAGTGTGGGAAGTGGGAGGTGAAACTCAGTTTCGTCGCCTGTGTTCTGTCACTGCTCAGGTCCAGCTCAGAAACCATAATGTCCTGTGTTGGCCTGGACTTTGGGTGTTGTGTGCTTCAGGTGGGGATGCGGCTGCTCCCATTCCCTCTAGGAACAGCTGCTCTTTAATTTGGGTGAGAGCCGACACAGGCACGCACCTGTCTTCCTTGACAATGCACATTGACAAGCCCCTTCTGTTTTGGGGCCGGCTGTCATTGAGCCGTGTGCCCTGACTTCCTGAGATGCATCGGGAGTGGCCTTCCCTCCTCTCCCTCCTCGCCTCGCTACTCAGCGTTACCTGTCTTTGCTGAAAAGATGGCTGTGACTGAGTGCTGCTTGTCTGCTCTGTTAATTCACTAAGCAAAGCCGGTCGACTTTCTCTGCATACAAACGACTGGTCTCTGGGGACTTGTAGCCATAGATACAGAACTGAACCTTTGCAGAACTGGGAGCGGCAGGTAGCTGGGAAGCAGTTAGCTGTCAGAGGATCACTTCTGCAGAATAACTCTTCAGTTTGTGAGAACTTGAGGAGGGAGCAGGTGGCCGCGCGTTTGAGACAGGGAGCATAAGTGCCCTGTCGAGTGCTGGTGATAGACTGGATGGCTGTCAGTGGGGTTGATCCCTCCCTCCCTAGGCTTCCCAGGGTTGTGGCTGCCTGTCAGCTTTCAGTCTAAGAAACAGCACTTCAGGCCGGGGATGTAGCTCAGTGGTTCCACCTCCTGCCTCCCGCCTCCCAAGCTCAAGATCCTGAGTTTGATGCCCAGTATCAAAAAAAAAAAAAAAAAGAAACAAACAACTGTTCTTTCCCCAGGATTGCTAGGCTGCTTCCTACCTCAAGACCCCCAAGACCATGTGGTCGTGTTCCGTTGGCATCTGCATTAGGTTGCCTGAGCCTGAGAGATCAGTGGGGGAACAAGTTTAGCCAGGGTCCACTGTGTGGCCCTGTTGTGCACTCCCCATGTTAGTGTGCCCTGTGGTGTCCTAGCAGGTGGCCGTGTGGCGAGGTGGTGGGCGTCCCCAGGATTGAGGTGTGCTGCACACCAAGCTTTTGCAGAGTCCTTGCTGTCAGTGGCATGCCATCTGCTGTTCTGTGGGCAGATCTCTTCTTGGCTTGTCCTCCAGTGTCCCTTTCAACCTTCAGTCTGCCACTCTGTGTGTGGGGAGGAGTCCCCACCCCAGTGCCAGTTGGGTACTTGGATAGGAAAAGTGGATCTGTCCCCTGCCCTTCCTTTCCTTCCCCAGAGTCCCTGCCAAAGCTTGATAGGAAAGAGCATTTCTGGAGGATGGCAGGATAGAGAAGGTCAACTAGGATGAGACTTGGGAGAGGCCCGGACTCTTCCTCCTCAGGGCTGTGGGTCTCAGGTTGGCTGGAGCTGGCAGAGCAGCAGGGAACAGGCTTCAGCATCGTCATTTTCTCATGGGCCATTAGGGCCCTTCTGCATGTAGCGTAGAAACAAATGCAGGGTGGATTCGGTGTGTCCTGAAGCCCTTAGGAGTTCATAGTAGTGTTGCTTTCTGGGTTTTTGTCTTAACCGAGATACTTTGACCTTTTTTTCTGCAGCTGAAGAAAAGCCGTGGGTGATTTTTTCCTTTGTCCAGTCTCTTCGGTTACCTTCCTCTGAATGGTGTCAGATGCCTTGCTGAGGAGTGAGCTGGCCCCATGCATGTACCCAAAGAGTGGGCAGTGAGTGACGTACCTGTCCTTTGCCTTGTAGGAATACCTCCACGGGCCCACTCCCGAGACTCTAGTGACTCTGCTGACGGGCGGGCCACGCCCTCTGAGAACCTTGTTCCCTCATCTGCGCGTGTGGATAAGCCCCCCAGCGTGCTGCCCTACTTCAATCGCCCCCCTTCAGCCCTTCCCCTGATGGGTCTGCCCCCGCCCCCAATCCCACCCCCACCACCTCTCTCTTCGAGCTTCGGGGTCCCTCCTCCTCCTCCTGGCATCCACTACCAGCATCTCATGCCCCCTCCTCCTCGATTACCTCCTCATCTGACTGTACCTCCCCCTGGGGCCATCCCACCTGCCCTTCACCTCAACCCGGCCTTCTTCCCCCCACCAAACGCTACAGTGGGGCCTCCACCAGAGACTTACATGAAGGCCTCTACGCCCTATAACCACCATGGCAGGTAAAACCCTGTTGTTGGCTTTGGGTGGGAACCAGGACGGGAGGGCAGACAGGGTGCTGAGCCTCTGGTTCTCCCTGAAGAAGGGAACATAGGTGCTGGCATTTTCCCTTGTAGAAACCATTGTCCTAGTGTTGAGTCCTGGGATGTGGTTTCCTGCCTGCCAGTGTTTAGGGTTTTTGTTTGCATCTTAATTAACTGCTTGACCCAAACCATAAGGAGCTTTTGAGATTGACTGCCCTAAATGGCTGCTGTAGATACTACTGTCTCCAGCACTGTTGAGTCTTGCCGAAGTTTCAGAAGCGTATGCATGACAGATGAGATCTCCAAAGAGAAGAGGACCACATAAAATACGTGGGCAGGCCGAGAACCTTTCTAGGCAGCTGCAGTGATACATGGTTTACGAGCACCGTGCTGTGGGAAGTGGGGAAAGTCACAAAGGTGGGCACTCAGGAAGGCAGTTGTCTTGCAGCCGAGACTCGGGCCCTCCGCCCTCTACGGTGAGTGAAGCTGAGTTTGAAGAGATCATGAAGCGAAACAGGGCGATTTCCAGCAGCGCCATTTCCAAAGCAGTGTCTGGAGCCAGTGCAGGTAACTCACCTTTGCTGCTTGTCTGTACCTTCGGTTTCCCTGTTGTGTCATTTCTACTGCTAAAAGTTCAGCGAGATGAAGACGGGGCACTGTTAGGTTTCAAGAGTGCCATGCTTCAAGCTAGGCATGGTGCTGCACACCTGTGATCCCAGCACTTGGGAGGCTGAGGCAGGAGGATCACCTCAAATTCAAGGCCAGCCTGGGCTATGTAGTGAGTTCAAGGCCAGTCTAAACTCCATATTGAGACCCTGTCTCAAAAAAAAAAAAAAAAAAAAATGAGTGGCACACTTCAGAGAACTGGAGTTTCCAGGTGTTGGTCGATAGAGTCTGTTTACCTTAGGGAGTTTCGGCAGAGCTACCAGCCTCACGAGCCCATCCTGAAGGCAGGTCTGGGGCTGTCATTGTGAGGTGTGTCACACCCTGTCAGCTAACTCTTGCCTTGCTGTCAGTATTAAGTGGGCATGGTTGGCAGCTGTGATTCTGAAGGCGTTGGGCATAAAATCTTCAGTTCTTAAAAGAGAAGCATTGATACAGGAAGTTTAGGGCTGGCCCAAGTTTCACATCGTGACGTTGGGTGTCTTCACTGCCTTCAGTAAGTTTAGCACATGAATATAAATGCTGTAGCCCACCAGGTCTGCTAAGGCATAAGCTAACCCTGAATACTGTACAGCCATCTACGTTCCATAATTTCTCATCTGTGATCTACAGAGTAGATTAAGATCAGAAAGTGTGCATGTTCTCAACTGTTTTTTTTTCCAGAAACACTACATTGAAATCTGAGTGAATCTTTTTAAATTAAAAAGTAATGTGTCCTTGTAATAAATCAAATATATAGCAGAATTTAGAGGAAATGATCAGTTTCGTCCCTGACATCCCTTTACTCCATGATGGTCAGTAACTCTTTATGTCCTTTCCTTTTTGTTTTTTTAATTCCAGTCATTTAGACCACAAATATTTCTTGAAAATGTCTGTAAAACAGATACATATTCCCTACCCAGGTGGAGCTGACATCCTGGTATCCCTGGGCTTCCATGAGATACAGTTCCTTCCTAGTTTTTGTCTGTCCCTTGTGCCCTCCACAGAGACAGCTGCCAGTCCTCTCTTCTCCAAACCCTTGTGTAGATTGATGCTTTTCTATTTTCTACCTTTCATGCTCTTGACTTAGTTGGGAAAAGCACTGTTCAAGACCCTACCCACGACTGCTCTTCCTGAGCCAGGATTGCTCAGATTTGGGAAATGAAAGAACTAAGTATTCATGGCAGCATAATTTTTAAAAATGTGTACATATATTTGTGGGCCACGTTAGAGTGCCTCAGGCATCAGCAGACCACTTGCAGGGCGGTGGTTCCATAAGATGATGTCACCTAGTGATGCTGTGGCTGGCTTGGTCTGTAAATGTGGAGTGTATGGTGTGCACACAGGTGACATTGCCTGGTGCCACACGTATCCTGGTCATTAAGTCACAACTAATTACGTTACATACACATGTTTACAGATACATAGTGTCACATGCGTATGCACACACCTGGTTCAAGAGTTAAAGTAATTCAAAGAAATTAGCAATGTTATAAATGAGAAGCCTCTATATAAGGACCACCAACAAGGCCACCTTTTTTTTTTTTTTTTTGTAACTGGGGATCAAACTCAGAACCTTGCACTTGTGAGGCAGGCGCTGGAACCACTGAGCTAAATCCCTGGCCTAAGGCCACCTTTTTTGACAACATACATATAATTTTGTTTGTTTTCACAAAAGTGGAATACAGTTTTACAACTTTTTTTTGTTTGTTTCTATATCCTGGACACCTATTACATTAATATATAATATTTAACATTTCTTGAGCCCTTACTCTGTGCTGGCACTGTGCTAAGCACTTCACATGAATTATTTTGTTTATATACAAATTTACCTCGTGCTTTTAACAGCTATAGTTATCTCTAGAACCCTTCCTTAATTTGTGTAGCTGCCCCTGTTGAACAGTTCTACAGACAACACTGAAACGTTGCTGTGCATAAATGCTTCCACACACCAAAGTAGAAGCGTTCTTAGAATTGTTGGCTTAAACAGTATGTATATGGCTTATTCTACTGGATGCTGTCAGACAGCCCCTGGACACTGTGCTGTCCGTGTATACATCCTCCAGCAGCAGCTGGCAGATTGTAAACACCGGGACAGTATGTGTATCATCTCACATCTGTCATGTCTGCTTCACCCACTGTACCATGGCTCTGAAACAGCCAGTTCTTGGCTTGTGCCCCCTTGCGTTCTCCTTCCGGTCCACTTGGGTTGCTGCCCCTCCTCACCCTCAGCCTTTCCTGTTTGTCTTGGCAGGTGATTACAGTGACGCGATTGAGACGCTGCTCACGGCCATTGCAGTCATCAAGCAGTCCCGGGTGGCCAATGATGAGCGCTGCCGAGTCCTCATCTCCTCGCTCAAGGACTGTCTTCATGGCATCGAGGCCAAGTCCTACAGCGTGGGTGCCAGCAGCAGCTCCTCCAGGTGAGCAGCACTCTGTGGGGCTTGGTGGGGACAGGGACGAAGCCCAGGGTGTCTGGTGAGGACTCCGCAAGGGTTGTGATGTGTGGCGGCGTGAGCTCAGGGCGGAGGAGAGACTGGTGCGTTTAAGCAGAGGCTTTGGGGCCACACGAGCTTGGACTTGAACCTCTGTTCTGTTGCTGATCATCCGTATGACCGTCTTGAATGTGGCAGTCAGTAACTTGCCAGGCATAGTTTTTCTCATTTTTAAAAAAGGGACACTGTTCCTTACCTAATAGACCTGTTGTAAAGATGAGGTCAGATAATGTGTCAGACTCTTAGTTCTGTGCCTGATACACTAGAAAGAGCTTAACAAATAACAGAGTCGTCATTTTCCAAGAGAAGGTTAGTCCTCAGAGAGCTAAGACCCTGAGACAAGGGCTGGGCAATAGCTCCGTGGCAGAGCACATGCCTACCATGCAGGAGGCCCTGTGCCCAACCCTGACACACTCATGCACACCCACGTACAGAGCAGAACCCTGGGACAGTGGGTCCAAGCCAAGAAAAAGAGTAGTGCGGGTGAAGAATGTGTGGGGCCTCTTGAGTGGAGCTGACACATCTTTCCCACAGGAAGAGGCATCGGTCCAGGGAGAGGTCGCCCAGCCGGTCCCGGGAGAGCAGCAGGCGGCACCGGGATATGCTTCACAATGAAGACCGCCATGATGACTACTTCCCAGAAAGGAGCCGGGAGCACGAGAGGCACCGGGACAGAGAGCGGGACCGGCACCACTGAGCGAGGTGGGGCGCCCTGGTCCTGCAGGGTGGTCGTTTATGAAAGGAGGAGGAGTGTTCACAGGGACACTGTCTGTGTCTGCGGGGTGGTGGGGAGAGGCCGGGCCAGAGCTCTGCCTGTGTGCGGAGCTGCACCCTGCGATGACTGACTGCCTTGGCCGGGTATCGGAGCAACAGGCTCGCCTTGTGCTGAGAGTGGGGTCTCCCTCGACACCTGACTGTGCCTTTCGGCCCCCACAGCAAACGGGCTGCTCTGCCCCTTCCGTCCCTTCCTCTGTACGTGAATGTCATGGAAGCCACTGTCCTCAGGGCTGTCTGACTATCTTATCCATCCATGAGGCAGTGCACACGGAGCACTGAGCGCTCCTCTGCCTGTTGTGCAGTCAGTGAGCGCCAGCTGTCATTGTTGCTGTTACTGTATTGTAACCCCACCATATGTGCAGGTAAAAAATTTGGAAATGGAGTTCAAGGCCAGCCTGGACTGCATAGCAGACCTTTATCTCAAAAAGAAAAAAGAAAAAGGCCGAGGATTTAGCTCAGTGGTTATACCGCCTACCTTGCAAGAGCAAGGACCCAAGTTCGATCTCTGGTACAAAAAAAAAAGAAAAATTGACTAAGGCAGAAAAGTAAGACCACTACCTGCTTAGTTTTCAAGGCACAAGATTAATAATTTTAATTTTAGTTTTATAACATCTATTTTAGTTTTTTTTTTAATAACATCTATTTTAGTTTTTTGTTTGGTTGGTTTTTTTGGAACTGGGGATTGAACTCGGGTCCTTGCGCTTGGGCAGCAGGTGGCGAAACCACTGAGCTAAATCCCTGGCCCTAGTTACATCTGTTTTAAAAGATTTAAATATTGGGGTTTCAGTCAGAGGAGAAAACTGATCTGAACGTAATTCACAGCCGTGAGGCTGTGTGGAGGCTAAGTAACCTTGCTGGAAGGGTGTTTTGCTTCCAGTAGGGTTTTGTTTTGTTAGCACAGGAGCAGGTTGTGCGGTGACACTGAAGTCTGGTGCAGCCTTCACAGAGCCAGGGGTAGGGCGTCGCTTCTGGGCACTTCTTTCTAGAGTCTGGGCCAGGCTGTGTTGGGAAGTGCCCACATCCCCGAAAAGCAGACCAGTGTGGGTCTCGGAATGGCAGGAGTGGACTTGGTTCACCGCCCGCCCCTCTGTGTCAGCGGCAGCCTTTTCTCCTCCTGTTTGAGCTGGTGTGTCTGGGTTGCTTGAGATCCAGAGCCACCGCCGCCCGCCCCCATCACTGGCTGTGCCGTGTGTCCTTTGGAGTCACCAGGCAGAGAGTGGCCGGTGCTAATTGGTCCCGGCAGGGCATGGTCACTTATAGTCTCCAGGGCCCCATCCGAGTGACAGTTAGAAGGCACCGTGTGTGTCACTATACTGGCTGGCTCTGCTCCCCACAGCCTTCCCATAGGGATGCGGTGCGCATGGCCTGCCGCTGGCTGCCTCGGTGCTTTGGTCCTGATTCCTGAGCGAGCTGTCACTGCCTCCTTTCCCCGCCTATAAGATAGGACTTTCTCCCATTACGTGGATGGCTGAATTTTGATAACTTAGGAAATCCTGTACGCTCGTGGCTGGTGAGGCAAGACATCATAAGGAACATTAACACCGAGGCAGGCTTTCCACTGCCCCTGCTGCTGGTCGTTCCCTGCTCTGTCTGAATTACTGAGTTCCAGGCTTAAGAACGAGCTCCTTCCAGGAGAGTTGTTCATAATTTGGGTTCGTTTGTGAGTTGACACAGTATACCTGTGAGAGTTCGCAATCTTTTGTTCATAAGCTGGGAACTTACTGTAAATTCAGTCCAAAAGAATTGAACCAGACCCTGGAGTTGCAGTGTCTCCCACTGTCATCCCGAGGACCCTCCATGTCATGTGGCTTGGGAGCCTCCGTGTGGGGAGAGGTGCGGCCTGCTGGCCTTGCAGACAGCTCTGCAGGCCCTGTGTCCCGCAGTCCTTCCGTAGGAGGAAGTGGTATTGATGGCCTGTGAAGCAGCGTTTGCTCAGCAGGCGAGACTGTCCAGAGGTGGCGGGAGCGCACCCTGCCTGTTTCAGGAGTGGCCCCAACTTGGGGCTTGAGGCTGCGCAGCCAGTGCAGGAATCTGCTCTCTTGTCTGCGTTCACACATTCTGCAGTGTGGCCGCAGGCCCAGGACTGGTGTTCAGAAACACCAGGGTTCCGCTGCATCCTGTGCTGGAAACAGTCCGCGTTAAATCACACTCCAGGTGTGTGTATGTGCTCTGGAGTTTGAGGGAGTTCTTAGGTAATCTGTGGGTTCAGCTCTGATTTTGGTTTTTTTTGAGACAGGGTCCTGCAGTGTTGTCCAGGCTGGCATTAAACTCATTATGTTCCCAGGCTGCCCTGGAACTCCCAGCAGTCCTGCCTCAGCTTCCTGAGTGCTGAGATTACAAGTATGAGCTACTATGCCCACCCTGCCCTTCTCAACTATGTCAGTTGTCTTGATATTTTAGGAAATTTTCCAACTTGAAAATAATTCTCACCTCATTCCTGTCCTGATCCAATCTGTGACCACTGAGTTTTTATTTGGTATTTGCCGGGTTCAGAGATTCAGAGGCTGGCTGGAGGTGTGACGTGCAGACTGCATTAGGGCTTCAGTGGTCCTCAGTAAAGTGTAGATGTTCAGAGAAGCCAGCAAGGCAGAGTCTAGGTCCATGCTGAGATCAGTGCCATTTCCGGGTCAGAAAGGTCAGGCATGTGGATGTCCTGTTCTCCTGGGGCAGCCAGCCCCTCCAGGATTGGTGAGGCCCGATTAAGAAGCTGAGCATTTGTGGAGGCCAGCTTGCTGGTGTGTGCCTAGCACGGAATCCCAGCATGAAAAACCTGAAATTCCAGGCTGGAGTTTAGAATTCAGATCTCCTGTTTTCTCTGGACTTAGTTCTGTTTGTACCGTCAGATGGAGCACACCACCATCTGCACGTTATCAGTACTGCAGTTCTGCACCAAGGGACCTCAAGTTTGGTGGGGTGACAAGTAGTTAAACCAACTCTTACTACTGATAGAGGCTCTTAGCTGCATTTAGGTTTCCTTTCCTCTTCTTTTCTTTGTTGCAGTACTGGGGATTGAACCCATTTACCTTAGCACAGAGCTACATCCCCAGCCCTTTTTTTTTTTTTTTTTGGCACCAGGGATCGAACTCCGGTCCTTCCACTTACACAGCAGGCGCCAAAACCACTGAGCTAAATCCCCAGCCCCCACAGCCCTTTTTTAAAATGTTTTGAGTCAGAGTCTTGGTAAGTTGCCTGGGTTGGGCCGAAACTTGAGGTCCTCCTGCCTCAGCCTCTCAGCGTGCTGGGGTTACAGGTGTGCGCCTCCACAGCTGGCTGCTTTCATATTTCTGCTAATGACTTTCTTTCCTTCTGTGCTGGCCTGGCCAGGTCATTCCTGCTTGCTGGTTCTAAGGCTTGGAAAAGCTCTGGTGCTGTTTGTTGTTGCGCATGCTCATAAGGGCATTGTTGAGAATCTGTTTTTACTAGGGCTTGATTAAAAGAAGACAAAGAGGCCCAGGGACTTAGCTCAGTGGTGCCACTGCCTGCCTCACAAGCGCAAGGTCCTGAGTTCAATCCCTGGTACCAAAAAGAAAAGGAAATAGACAAAAAATAGCCAGGCACAGTGGCCCAGTCCCAGCACTCTCGGAGGCTGAGGCAGGAGGATCTCAAATTCAAGCCCAGCCTGGGTGACTTGGTGACTTAGCAAGACCTTGTCTCGGCATAAAACATGGCAAGAGAAGAAGACGGGTGCATCAGTGTCCTGTGGCAGTGCATGCTCCCTGCTGCCCTCCAGGGCATTTGGGGCTGATGGATTTGGCTGTGTTCACACTTGTTGGTCACCGTGCCTCCCATTTCCACATTTTTGCTTCCCCTCAGGTAAGCCATGCTGCCTCAGAACAGACTATCACACAGGGAGCTCACCGTGCCCCCTGGCGGCAGCTTTCCACACTCTGCCAGCTCACCTCCTCTCCTGCTCTGAGCCCCATTCTGTGTCTGTCCCCAGCTGACAGCCAGCTGTCCCTGCCTCCTCTCGGGAGCTCCCGCCAGCCCCCCTCGCCTGCTCCATCTCCGTCCCTGTCATTGCTCCGCCCTCCAGTGCGTCCTGTCTGTGACCCCTACTTCAGAAGTTGTCAGTGTGTTTCGCGTGGCCCAGCAGAAAGTAACCTGTGTTCTCTTTCTCCTCTTCTGCTGTCCTCATTGCAGGAGTCTGGTTGGAAGCAGTGTTTTTAACGGACTCGCATCTCCACCCTGATCAGGACTAAAGGACGGAGGCCGCTCCACTCTCCCCTTCCTCCACTCCCCTAATCCCACCTGACACCCAGGGAATCCCTCTGCCCCACAGGTTTGAAGATGGCTTGGCACCCTCCCAGCCCCGTGCCTCCCGTTTGCCGGGGGAAGAACCTAAGACTGTGGCCAGGAGGGTGGTAGAAGGAAGCAGGCTCCGTGCCGGGCCCTGGTCTTCCGAGAACGGTGCTTTGTCTGAGGAAACGTGTGTTTCTAACTCCAGGAGCAGTGCATTGGTGAGGCTGGTGGAACGGCTTCCTGTCCAAGGAAACGGATCCTCCGTGCAGCTCTCGGAGGGTGACGGGTGTGCCAAAATATGCCAGGGCCCTGTCCTTAGCACTAGGTTTGATGGGGCCAAGAGGGCCCAAGCCCTTGCTAATGTACCACTTTGTTAACGCTTTCCCCCGCGCCCTTTGAGAAGGGACCAGGAGAACAGACATTACCTAGTGACAGCTCCTTCTGGTCTCGGTTTTCCTTCTTGCATCTTGACGGTTTGTGTCCCTGCCCCCTAGAGGGCTAACCCCTCCTGCTCCCCACTGCCTAGCGCTTCGACCTGCCCCTGAGGAGAGAGGCCTGTGCGTTGCTTGTGTCGGAGCCCTCTTCTTCGTGCTCGGTTGCCTCTCGCAGTAACCAGCTCCCTGGCGTTCCTCTCCCTGGAGCATGTCCATGTAACACATGGTGCCCTTCCCCCAGGAAGGCTGCTTCCTTGTTTTAGAGGAAGTTACTGCCGCTGGGAGACGGCCCTCGGGACCTCAGGAGTGAAGAAGCCTAGCCGAGTACCGAGTACCGGAGGAGTAGGGAGCGGGCAGCCTGGCGGGATCTGGCCCACTTCCCAGGCTTTTCCTTCCTTGGGCTGATGGAAGCCTGGGGTTGCGTCCCCAGGTACATACTTGTACGTATCATGGGATAACCCGGCACTGCTAGGCAGGTGAAGTCACAGATTTGGTGTCCTTCCACCTTTGGACTTTTGACTCACAAGCTCTCCTTCCTCTGCCTGGAGGTCCTTCCTGCCTCTGGTAAGGAATGAGTAAGAAATGGAGCCTCACTAGGCCGAACTTCACCCTGAGTTGTAAGCACCAGCACTGTGGGACCATTTTCCACCCAGGCAGATGGAATTGCTTTTCCCCAAACTTCCTGCGGTGGCTGCTGAAGCAGGCAGCAGCAGCAGGGTCCTGTAGCACCCAGGGTGAGGGCGCCTGCCACTTAGCGCGAGGCCAGCTGTGGCTGAGGACAGGGTCAGAAACCCTCTGGCTCAGGGGAGGGGCTGGTTGGACTGCACGTTCCCAAAACACCCCGGTCTCGGGGGAGCCCCCAGGGTTGGAGAGGCACATTCCCTTGGGACAGGCTGCAGACTGGAGCTTTTATCCCGTCCCCCAACCCTGTCCCCACCTGCACCTCGGCCCATGGCACCCTGCCAACTGGCCAAGTGTTACGTGACGTGCTTACCCTTGAGAGCAGCTCCGGGTGTCTTTTTAAAATGTAGAGAAAACCAAGTAAGGTGGTGGTCTAAGGAAAACAATATATAGAATATCAGAAAAGCTGTTTGCCCGGAGAATTATTTTCTCCCCTTTTTTTGTTTTTACTCAATGACACAATTTTTAGTTTTACTTCCTGATAGCAAAAGGAAAAGAACCCTAACCCTAAAAAGGCTAAGGCCCCGTCCCCCCGTTGTCGGTGATTTGTTTGTCTTTCTGATGGGTTGAAAATTGTGTAATAAACTTGATGACGCTGTCAATCTTTTATACTGCATTGTATTTTTTTCCTTTTGTAACAAAGTATTTTGAAATAATAAATGGGGTGTGTGCTGTTGTATGGATTCTGCATTGCATAGATTTGTTGAGGTGTTGGGTGTGGGTGTGGGCTGAGGTAGATGCTGTGGGATGGCAGCGAACCCCAAGTTCCTAGCAGGATTTGTGTTGGGTACGGGCTTCTCTGCAGCAGAGGAGGCCCCTGGGGCAGACCTTCAGAGGCGCCGCCAGCAGTCCAGCCTTCTGGCCCCAAAACGGCCTGCTTAAAGACCATTTCCAGGTTGTCCCTTACCCTTCACAACTCCCAGGACTTCTTTTCTGAGCCCATTTCCCACCTTGTAGTGTTTGGTTCTGACAGCATGGAGGCAGGAAGGGAAGGCTGTCCTGTGGGAACTTGAGGGCGGGGGCTTGCGTCCCCAGCCGATCGACCCATGGACATGCAGTGTGGCCTCAGCCTCCTTCGCCTGGAAGGTCAGTAGCTGTTCTGCCTTCACATAGGCGTGTTCTGAGGGTCAGAGAACGTGAATGTCTTGGGAATGGATCTGCCGTGGAAATAGGTATAGATTAGAAAGCTTACTAGAAGCCTTGCAGGGCAATCCTGGGTTTCCAGAGAAGACAGCTTTTTAAAGCCAGATAAGCAGAGTGGGCAGTGCAGGGCTGAAGGCCTGCAGGCAGAGATGACTCACAATGTACTGTTCACACGACACAGGGAGCTCCGGCACCAGCGTGTTACTAAAGGTGAGGCTGCTCCCTAAAACAGCCCAAGTGGAGAAATCTGCGGTCCAGCAGTTGGGGATGGTTCCATGACAGGAGCCGCAGATTGGGGCATCCCGTCTTGCCATCCCAGCAGCCACTACCCAAGAAGCCAAAGAAACGAATCTGTGAGAAGTTTTTATTTTTTAAAAAGTGAGGTGCCTGAGAGGGCGGTTCAGTGAAAAGGAGATGAACCATAGACGAGGTAATAACTAGCTATTTGGGAAAGGAGTGGAAACAGCCTTCAGGATTGGGACCTTCAGACAGGCCTGTGAGTTGCACTCTGTGATCGCTGCCTGTGAGCTCCCGTGCTGGGTAAAGTTGGTCCTGCGCTGTCAGCCTTCTCGGGGTATAGGCATCTGACGAAAGTGAGTGGAGACTTGTTCATGAGATTACATTAGGTCTCCCCAAGTCAGCACCAGGGTAGGGAAGGAAAGCACCGCCTTGGATCCAGACATCACCCAGCCCCGAGATGCCGCTGCAGACACCACTGTTGGAGACATGTGAGAAGCAGAAAGGGCCTGTGGCAGCTGCTGTCAAGTGTGGGTGCCTCCATGTCCGTGGTCCGTACAGTGACTTCCCTGCGTTTCAACATGCACAGCCTCACAGACTTCTTGTCTTCCAGGGCTGCCTCGGTTTCCACTGTACAGTGTGGTCAACTGCACACAGCGGTGCTGGCAGCATCTGGAAGAACAAATGTGTGGGCTTTCCACATAACCCTAAGCAAGAGGCGTTTCTGATCATATCCTCATTTTCGACTCATCCTGTGGCAAAAAGAATTTACTGCACCCAGCCTCGCCTTGGGCTGGGAGCTCCACCTGGCAGTAGCCCGCCTCGCACTGCTTTCCTCCCTCAGCTCTGCAGCACCTTAGTGCTAACACTCACCTTGAGCCACCTCTGCACTTCAACTGGACCTTCCATTCACATCTGTGCAGTGGGAAGGGCAACCTTTGCCGCTGAACCACTACGTGAGACTGGGTTGTGGAGGACAGGTTCCCTCCAGTTTGATGCTGGTGATTAGTTCACAGCAAGGCTCAAAACCAAAGCAGCAGCATGAGAAGCAACAGAAAATTGGTATTCATGGGGTCTGTGATTGGCAATTTTGGGGAAGTTCCTAGTAGACCCCTGGACATCAGGAGGCAAGGCCACAGGGCACAGAGCAGTGGGGAATGAGGGGGCATCAGAGCTCTGGGCCATGGAGACCACAGGACCACAGGACGAGAACGAGCCAGACCACGGAAAAAGCAAGCTCAGGAGGCTCAGTGCAGGTCGGGATTCACCTGACATTGGACAGGGCCCTCAGGCTTCCTAAGTGGTTGCTCTCTCAGGGCCACTGGTGGCCTGTTGGGGCTGAAACCATGGCCACTGCCAAGATGTGGAGCACTTCTGAAGATGGCTGCTGAGAAGTGACACACTCATCTACAGGACACCATCCTCCAGCTTAAAAAGTACTCTTTTTACTTCAAAAGTTTTAAATAGGCCAGGGATGTAGCTCAGTATTAAAGGGCTTGCCTAGCATGCAGGAGGCCCTGGGTTTTGTCCCCAGAAACAAACACAAAGAACATTCTGGTAAGCTGAGAACACGCTTCCAATTGCAGTTGCCCTGCCTGGAAAGGAGCCACAGCTGTAAGAGCAGTGAGAGACGAGACACCAGCTGGCAGCCCCAGAGCAGACTTGTAGGTGACATGAAGACAGGATCTGAGCCGGGCATGGTGGTGCACGCCTGTCATGCCAGTACTCGGGAAGCTGAAGCAGGTTCAAGGCCAGCCTGGGCTGCATAGTGAGACTGTCTCAAAAACCAAACGCAGAGATGACGGGATGGGTGCCTCCTGGGATCTGCTCAGGCTGCAGCCACAAAAGCAAATCAGCGGGGCCTTCAGCGCTGTTGCCAAGCGCAGCCTGAGACACGTCCCGGGGACAGTCTGGCCTCTCCAGGGGGATGAGATCTAGGGACAGGTGCTGTAAGGAAAAAGCTGCCACCCCCAAAACAGAAAATAGATATTTATTACAAAAGTGTTTGCTGCGTGATCAGAGTAGAAAAATAACACTGTGCTACACAGAGGCCTGGAGCTCGGCCTCCTGGAGGAATGGCGAGGGGCGTTCACACCCCCAGGGGCCACCTCCTGATGCTCTGTGGCCACACACGGGCTCCCAACGGTGGCACGGCACCTACGGAGCCTCGGTGGTCCACACGAGAGGCTCTGGCCATGGGGAGCAAAGAGGAGGACTTGAGATCCACCAGGAACTGTCTGACAGCGGTTAGAATGGGGCCGGCCTGCCCCTCCCTGTGGTGGAGTGGAGGAGTCTCAGCCCGTGGCCCTGGTTAGGAGACTGCCCACTGGCCTCATTGGGCTGGATGCCCAGGTGTTGGTGCTGATGAGAAGCTGTGCGACCTTTGCCAAGCCAACGTGATCCGCCACTTCTCAGGGCTGGGGCTGTCAGCCTCATGTGCTGCGGGCTGAAACTTTTGCACTTCAAATCTTGTCCATACTGATGGAAGAAAAAAGAAAATGATAAAGAGCAGTGAACAAAAGCAGCTGGCCAAATTGTTCCAAATTCCAAGTCCCTTGGCCCCAAAGAATCCGAAGAGTATCTTCCCTAGAAGGAATGATCCACTGCTGGAAACAGGAAAGGCAGGCCCACCACCTCAGCCTTTCCATCCAGGTGTCCAGCCCACCCTCCCAAGAGCACCTCGTCCTCCATGCAGAGGCCCCGCCCACAGCACAGCACCTGGAGAAAGCAGCTAGGGTGAGCACCTCCAGCAGCAGCTCTGAGCCACAGAAAACAAGCAGGATGCCATTCATGATGGCTTCCAGTCGGAGCACGTAGGTCTGCAGCAGCAGGTAATAGGCGGCCATCATGGCAGACGGGAAGGTCAGGGCCACACTAATGCCAAGTGGCATCTTCCGCTGGCAGAGGTTTCCCTTTGTACCTGCCAGATACAGCCAGAGTCACCTCCAAGTGGCCTCTTCCCCTGGCCACAGGAGAAAGCTGCATGGGATGACTGTGAGCAGAGAAAAACGACTGCGGAGGGGGGTGTTGTACGTGGGGTCCCACTGTACTAAAAAGTCCAGGCTTGGGGGAGTCATGGGAGTGGGGTCATTTACTCCACAGGGCCTACTCCCAGTCTCCCTCAAAAACTGTAATTGTAAAAATTACATTCTCATTGAAAACTTTCAACTAGTATAATCTTAGAAAAGACACAAAAGCATATAAAATATCTGTTCCCCAGGCCCTCTCTAGTGGATGTTGTAAATCTGTTATTGTTGCCAACGTGATGGGTGAAAAAATGCTGCTTTATTGTTTCGGTTTACATTTTTTTTTTTGTACCAGGGATCGAACTCAGGACCATGTGCTTTTGAGTGGTGGCAGAACCACTGAGCTAAATCCCCGGCCCAAGGGCAAAATACTCTAACTGAAAAGGCTTTAGCTGTGTGTTTTCTGTGCTAGAGATCCTTATTCAGAGAAGCAGTGGGATCTCAGTGCTGGGCAGACATGTTCCACCCCGGACAGTCACCACTGAAACTCCTCCCAGCTGACCAGCGAGAGGAGCCAGGCTCTCCTGGGGTGCTGAGGCCTGCAGAAGGGATTCTCTAAGAGCCCATGCTCCACAAGCAGCACTGACCCACAACGTGAAGCAGCAGCTTGAAGCTGCAGCTGGGGAGTAATGTGTATACTGCCTGATCTGATTGCTCACTGACTGGTGAGCCTACTTGTGCAGGCGTCTTGTTAATCAAGTTACAGACCAGCTCGTGTCATGAGGAATGAAAATGCTCTTGAACAACACTCACCAAAAAGCAGTCGGATTACTTCAATTCCAAGATAAAGCAAGAGCATCACCACATCCAGCACCAGGTTGGCCGTGGGGTAGGGCAGCAGGAGACCTAGCAAGACGAAGGGCAGAGTCTGCAGCAACATGACAACACCCGCAGCACTGCACACGGCTGGGATGCAGCGGGTGCAAGGAATAGGCAGTACGCCTGTCCCTGTTCGTCTCTGTGGGGACTCCTGTCCCACTGACCAGGTGTATAGGGGTGCAGAGCCCCCGGAGGGGCTTCTGGGGATCACCAGGGTGAAGTGGAGTTAAGTCTACGTTTCTCAAGCTCAGGCAAGTCTTTCTGAGGGCTTCCTACTGAATCATTGTCAGTACAGGCATCTCATGGACAGACTTCTGCCTCAGAGGGAAGAGGGGGTACAGAAAAGATAGAGACCAAGAAGGTTCTCGGTGGGACTGGCTCTGGGCTGAAGTGGGAAGGAGACATCGGGGCAGGGCAGCCCTACCTTTATACAGGAATATGAAGAGTTCCAGCAGGAAATAGGTAGCATAATACCAGCCGTTCAGAAAGAACAGGATTTCCAGGGGCGTCGAGGACAACCGTTTACCTGAAAGGAGACAGAGACAGAGACGGGTGGGTGGAGGGCGGCGCAAGCTCTGCTCCTGGTAGAGCCACGGTTTAACCTGGAGAAGAGGTCGCGGCGAGGGGCTGGGCCATCGGGGACGCTTCTGGTTGCTGACAGTGAGGTGGCGGGGTACGGGGTGAAGGGGCCGCCTTCCCTCTCCTTTCCCAGGAATCACTGTCAAACTGCTTTTTTGGCTTCGAGGGACAAAGTCAGGAGCTAGCTCGGCGGCCACGCCAGCTGAAAGGCACCTCAAAGATCGAACTCGTGAGTCACCACGTGGGCGGGCAATCGGCACGGAGACCGACACTGGCTTGCTCGTGGCCAGGTAGCTGGTCACCGGACCAGCTAGGACGGCTGGGCGGAGGGTGCGGGCCAGTGCTTCAGCCCGCACGCCCAGACCTCCAAGCACCGACCCCCGCCGGGCACAAACGGGGAGCGACGTCCCTGACGCCTGGAAATGGGGCTTTCGGTCGAGGTATGGGCTAGAAGGGAACGGAGGGGCTGGTGGAGGTCACGGGACGGGGACCAGCGACTCACACACCTGCGGAACCTCACCTCGCGGCGCCATCTTCAGTCCCCATGGAAACTGCGTACGCGGCCGCAGCCGCTCCGGGAGCGGCGAGGAGCTGCCGGAAGCAGGGACGGAGCGGCGCCGGCCTCGGCCCCTCTGCCGGCTGGCGGCACTCTATGGTGTGCGCGCGCGAGCGCGGGCCGCCGCGCATGCGCGGAAGGAGAGACGGCTGTAGACAAGTCTGCGGTCCTCTGTCGCACGGTCGTGGCGTCGCCCGCGGGACCTCGGCTCCTGGAATGAGGGCGTTGGGCAGGGGGTCTGGCCTTAGCCTCACGTTGTCTTTTCCATCAAGCGTGTGGGGAGGAGCAGCGGAAGGGTCGGCCCGGAGTCGGAGGGGTGCGGGGCGCGGGCCGCGGGCCGGCCCCACCTCGCCCCACTCGCGGCGGGGAGCGAACGCCTTTACCCAGGGTCCCCTGCAAGTCAGAGCAGGGGAGCAGGCGTAGAGCCCCGCGACCTGCACCCACCCCACTCCTGCCCCGCACCACGCCTGGGTTCTGCAGACGAAAGTCCGCGATTTGCACTTTGTCTGGTGCTGCTTGTGTGCGAAGGAAAAGGCAACTCGTTGCCTTAGAAACCCTGTGGCCCGCAGCCTCGGGAAGAAAAATGTCCGAGTTCGCCACCACCCCAGGGGCCCAAAGCGGACGGCGAGGTGGAGTCGCTCCGGGCAGACGCGGGCGCCTCCGCTCCGTGTGGCCGCCTGGTCCTTGACCCGCGGCCGGGAGCGACAGCTGAGCCTGCGTGGTGACCACGCCGAGGGTTTCGCCGCCGCAGCTGCGGGGAGCAAGGCCCCGGCCGCGCACCTTCCCCCGCACCAGGCAAATCAAGCCAGCCCCTTCCTCCAGGGGCGGGGCAGCACGTGGTCAGCTTGGCCTTGCCCAGCCACCTCCGCGAACTATTTCGGATGGGCTTTGGTGGACTTTAACGCTTTTTAGGAACGTATTGCATCATCTGCGGACAAAGGCATTTCTGCTTCTTAGGCTTCTTTTCTCGGCGGCTGGTACTAGAGATCGAAGCCTGCGCCTTGTGCTAGGCGAGGGCCCCACCACTGAGCTACATCCCCGCCCTTTTACTTTCTGTTTTGCAGTAGGGTCTCAGTAAGCTGCTCAGCCTGGCTTAAACCTTCAGTCCTGCTGCCTCAGCCTCCAGAGTAGCAGGGGTCATGGGTGTGCGTCACAATACCCAGCTTGTGCATTTTAAGTGCTTTCTCTCAACCTGGTGAGAACTCCATACGATTTTTGCCTTTTATCCAGCTAATGTGATGACACTGATTTTTTTCCAAGGATGTAGCCAACCTTGCCTTCCTGGAAATAAACCTACTTGATTATGATACTGTGCAGGAAAGAGTTAAAGTGGCAAGCCTGCGTCTGCTCCCCTAGAAAGTGCGGCCTGGGCTGGCTTCCTGCTTCGGGAGACCTTGCAGTCTGAAGGATCCCCGCCCATGCAGGGCGGTCCCTGTTCCTGTCTGTGGGGATGCTGAGCATCTGTCATCCTGAGCCTGGATTTTGGCAGAGGGTCCCCAGATGACCTCGCCCAGTGTTACTGCGGACGTGGCTGGCAGCCGGGCCTAGCGTGCAGAACTCAGAGCCGGAGCGAGCGGCGGCCTGTGTGGGTCAGGACAGCGGCCTCTTGGAAGCGCTGCTGGCTTCCTCTGGACTCCGCCCAGGCTGAGTTTTAGTCTTGCTGCCCGGGCTCACAGCCCTGGTCCCAGCTACAGGCCCAGTCCTGAGAGCCCCTGCGGAATCCTTGCGTCCAGATGTGGCCTTGGGGCTCCAGACACAGATACATTATCTGTAACTCGGATTTCACCTAGGGCATTTTTTTTTTTTTTGCTCTTTCGAGGCAGGCACCGGAACCACTGAGCTAAATGCCCGGCCCTCACCTAGGGCATTTTGTTCAGGTCTTCACACATGTTCACGAGAGATTTACTTTCTTGTAAGGACTGTGTCTAATTTGCTAACAAGGTTAAATTAGCTTCATAAAATGAAGTAAAGCCAGGCGTGGTGGTGTACACTGTGATCTCAGCACTTGGGAGGCTGAGGCAGCAGGATAGCCATGAGTTCAAGGCCAGCTTGGTTTACACACTGAAGTCAAGGCCAGCCTGAACACATGCTGGGGGCCCTGTCTCCAAAATCCAGAAAAAAATGTTATAAATGAAGTGTGAAGCTCTTTCTGCTCTCTGGAGGGCACTGCATAAGATAGGTACCATATTATTTCTCCATGAAATATTTGGAAGAATTCCCTGATGGACCCACACACTCCTGAAATTTTTTTTCTTTTTTCTGGTGTTTTTTTTGTTTGTTTGTTTGTTTTTCCTGTACCAGGGATCAAACTCAAGACCTTGCACTTTCGAGGCAGGCGCGGTGCCAATGAGCTAAATCCTCGGCCCAACCTGGAGTTTTTTTGTGTGTGAAAGTTGAAAATAAAACCACTCAGATTTTCTCCTTCCTGAGTAGGGTTTGGATAGTTGTGTTTTGGGACAGTTTTCCCATCTTGTATAAACCCCCAAAGGTTACTGGCATGAAGTTTGGTCCAGGGCCCCATGTCATAGGCTGAGGGCTCCGCAGCACGGCTTGCTCCTGCCTGGCCTTTGGTTTCTGCTCTCAGGGCCGGGGTTCAAATCAAGGCCTCGAGAGTGCTGGGCCATGCAGATGCCCTCCAGCCCCTTCCCTGAGATTCTCTATTTCTTTTTTCTTGTTTAGTTTTGATGTGTTTATCCGTTCTATTAACCTTTTAGAAAAACAATGTCTGGCTTTCTTTTTCCCCACTGTTTTCTATTTTATGCAGTTTTGGTTTTGTTTCTGTCCTCTTGCTTTCTTTCAGTCTCACTTGGTGTCTGTCCATTTCAAGATGGAAACTTGACTCTGACCCTTTCACACCTGCCTCCTCCTTCTCTTTTCTGTTTTTGTGTATTTATTTTTGTGGTGTTGAAGGTGGAACTTAGGGTGTCATTCATGCTAGGCAAGTCCTTACCACTGAGCTATACCATCACTCTCGACTTTCCTCTTCTTTAATATTTGTGGGTGTTTTGTTTTGTTTTGAGACAGGGTCTTGCTATGAAGTTGAATCACTGTGTAGCCCAAGCTGGCCTGGAACTAACTCACAGAGATAGATCCTCTTGCCTCAGCCTCCTGAGTGCTGTGATTACAGGCATGCGCCACCATGCCCAGCTAAGTTTTGTAGGTTTTTTTGTTTTTGTTTTGTTTTGTTTTTTGAGACAAGGTCTTGCTCTGTAGTTCAGGCTTTCCTTGAGCTACTTACCCCAGGTTGGCCTCGAACTCTCAGCAATTCTCCCACCTCAGTGCTAGGATTACAGATGTGTGCCACCACCCTTGGCTTAATTTTTGTGTTTTAAGGCTACAAATTCCCCTTCAGATGCTAATTTAGAGACATCTATGAATCCTGTGACCTTGCTAAATTAAATGCATTTATTAATAGTAGTGGGTTTGTTTTTTTTTTGTACCAGGGATCAAACTCGGGACCTTGAGCTTTCAAGGCAGGCAGTGGAACCACTGAGCTAAATCCCCGGCCCTACAATGGCTTTTAGATTCTCTAGGATTTTAAAAATAATTTTCGAATACAGTTTTGCTTCTTCCTTCTCAATCAGTATGCCTTTTTTTCTCCCCCTACTGGAGTGATGAGACAGTGTAATGTTTTTTATTTATTTATTTATTTATTTTTTGGTGCGGGGGATTGAACTCAGGACCTTGTGCTTTCAAGGCAGGCAATGGCACCACTGAGCTATATCCCCAGTCCCGAGACAGTAATGTTGATAGAAATAGTGGAACCTATATCTATGCCCTTTCCCTGATCTCAAAAAATACTCAGTTTTGCCAGGAGTAGTGGCTTATGCCCATAAATCCCAGCACTCAGGAAACTCAGGCAGGATGATTTTGTGTTTGAGGCCAGCCTGGACTACATATGAAGCCCTGGGTCAAAAAATAACAGCATCAACAACAAAAATTCAGCTTTTAGCCAGGCGCTGTGGGAGAGAGTGTGTAATCCCAGCTACCCCAGAGGCTGAGGTAGGACTGTCAGTTCATGATCAGCCTGGATGGCACCGCAAAACCCATCTCAAAAAAATTATTTTCAGTTTCTCCTCAGTGAGGCCGTGGATATTTCATGGGTGCTTTTCTCCCTTTTGTTGCTGGGGACTGAACGCAGCCTCATGTATCAAAGAACACATTGACCAGAGGTGTACCCTGCCCTCAGAGTACTTTTATCCAACAGAGGGAGCTGCCTTTGGGTTTTTTTTGTTTTTTGTTTTTTGGGGTACTGGGGATCAAACTTGGGTCTTTGCGCTTGCACAACAGGCGGCAAAACCACTGAGCTAAATCCCCGGCCCCTGCCTTTGGTTTTTGTCACGAGCGGGAATTGAATGTTGTCAGGGCTCCAGTCATTTCCTGTCATGATAAAAATGTTTTTGCCCTTTACTCTATTGGTATGGTGAATTTCATGCATTCATTTTTAGTTGTTAAGTCAGTCTTAGGCTCCTGGAATACACCCTGCTGGTTACCCTGTTTGTTTTTATATTGCTACACTCAGTTTGCTAATTTTTTTGAGATAGTCTCACTGTGTAATCCAGGCTGGCTTTGCACTCATGATTCTCCTGACTCAAATTTTCCCAAGTGCTGGGATTAAAGCAACCAGGCTTAACTGTCAAATGTACTGGCATACAGTTGTCCACAGCACTCTATAATACTTTTAATGTATATTAAATATACCATATGTAATTTTAAGTTGAGCACGGTGGCATGCATCTGTAGTCCTAGGTACTCAGAAGGCTGAGGCAGGAGGCTTGCTTAACTCAGGAGTTCAAGACCAGCCTGGGGCAATGTAGACCCTGTCTCAAAAAAAGAAAAATGAATACTCACATGTGTGTCAGAACATCTCTCCCGCTCTTTTGTCTCTTTGTGCACATGCCAGACAAGTGCTGTGCCACCCAGCTGCCCACAGCCCCTTTCATTCTTAACTCTGGGCCTGGTCATTTTTGTCCTCTTTTTCTTGACGATGCAGCCAGATTCATCTGAGGAGCCCTCAAGGAGCTAACTTTGGTTACACATGTCTTCTCTGTTTGTGCACCTGCTCCATGTCTTGTCTGACCTTTATTCTTTCCTTCTACTTTGTTCATTTTCTAGTTTAAAATTAAACCTTAGACACTGATTTTAATTTCTTTTTTTAAAAAATTACTTGTTTGTTTGTTTGAGCCTTTGCATTGGGCTACATCCCTGGAATCACTGGCCATGAAGCATGAAGACTTCCTTCCGGGCCCTGCCACTGTCTGTTTGTGGCCCCTTTGCTTCCGGTCCCCGCCCTGTCCCACTGACTAGGAGAAGTACACCCTGCTACGTCAGCCCTGCCAAGTGCCTGGGCCCGAGATTGCAGAATGAATTCAAAGGGCAACAAAGGTGGAGTGGGAAAGGTTTGCTGGGGAATAGGAGTAGCTCCTGAGAGCCAGGAAGGGTCCAGGAAGCAGGTGGCCACTGAGGGCCTTTGACAGGGTAATTTATGCAGCAGAGTCACACTGGGTACCAGGCGAGCCAACTACATGGAGCATCACAAGTACAGCTGCTAACTGAACACTGACTGCCGCAGCCAAGGCCAAAGATGGCCCTTCGCCTCCTTCCTGCTCCCTTTCTCTCCATAGACTGATTGCAGACCCCGGATGGCGCAGACCCCGGATGACACAGCCCCGGGAGACGGCGACACATGAACCCTTCTTCCGTGTTCCCTCTCTGCGCCTGCCCCGACCACGAGAAAATCACGATGCGTTCAGCCTAGGCCACTGGCACTAGTCACCTGCCTCCTCTTCCTGTTTGTCTTACAGTACAAATAAAGAGCACGCTCGACCCCAGGCAGCCATTAGCTCCCCACAGGCCCTGGCTCCACCTGGTCCCATCTTTCAAGCATAATCTTTTTTGTTTGGTTGGTTTTTGTTTTTTGGTACTGGGGATTGCCATGAGTTTAAGGCCAGCCTGGGCTACAAAGTTAGACCCTGTCTCAAAACTGAAAAAAAGGAATCTGTTATTTCTCTGTTGAGGTTACCCAGTAAGTTAGAAATAAAGGGGTGAGTCACTCCCTTCCCTCTGTTCAACTGTAAGCACCACACCACCCTACTGGTCATCCCTGCTTCCATACTCCTATGACAGGGAAGCTGTGTGAGCCACTTCGCTTCTGTCCATTCAGCCATTAACCAAACACCAGCCCTGTGACTACCGGGGCTTAAACTAGGAGGCCTCACAGGCTCTGAAGTCAGAGAGACGGTGGGGGTGCCTGGGAGCAGTGGTGTCTGACCCTGTAAATCCCCAAGCCAAAGCCGGAGTAATGCAGTCCCTTTTTGTCCCGTCCCCCGCCAGTCCCTCTTGACTTCATCTTTTATCCCTTCGCCCTTCTCCCTGTACCCGCTGTCCTGAGATCCTGAAAGACGTCGCCCCTATGGCACACTACGAGCACTGTGCTTGGCAGTCCTCTCCGTGCTGAACTCCAGAACCTGCACTGCCCCCGGCCCGCTCAGCTGCACCATGCATGCCTCTTCATTCTCCGACGCCACATTCCCACAGATGCTCTGAGATCCTCGTTTGCTGATTCCGGCAAGCAGTCCCCACACGGGCAGCCTTGACCGTCAGTGCAGCAGGCTGTGAGCTCAGATTTGCCTGCAGACTTGGCGAGTAGGCCCAGGGTCAAGCCACCTGGCGAGGCTTGAGTCTGAGCCATGCGGCGGCCGTTCCCTCTCCTGGCTCCTCTTCCTCAGACTTCTCGTCCTCCCCAGAATCAGGGCCTTGCCCCTTCCTCGGAAACTGGGGTTCTCACCAGCACATCCCCCAGGAAGCCTCCGGCCACAAGCAGCAAAACCAGGGAGCACTTCCCGGCCCAGGCCAGGTCGATGGCGGTGTGGAACGGGGCACAAACCAGCACCACGTAGCTTAGGAATTGCTGAGAATCGGCTGCCCTCTTCTTTGGGAGTGATAGGGGAAAGTTTTAGATAACTTAATAGACTGAATATTAAGGTAGTTATAGAAGCAAAATAAGTAATGTGTTCTTTTAAGATTTGCTTTTCCCATAACTCCTTGTTTAGGGTGCAGGCTATCTGACTCTAACCTGTAACTTCATTAACCTAACAAAGTTACCACGCCAGGGTGAATTTACAATGTATATGTGCCTATCTCGTGTCTGTGACTTGTAAATAGAAACTGGAATTGTATTTACACATCAAAGACCACTAGGGATGAGATAATGGCTAAAAAGGATATAAAAAGGGAAACGCTGAACAAAGAGGGTGTGGATACAAACCAGACCTGTTTCTGGTGTTCCTTCCTGCTCATGAGAAGAAATTTTATTATTTTACCCGAATTCTGTGTCTCTGTGTATTTCTTTCCAAGATTTCTGCAACCTTTGGTTCCCTGACCGGGAATCGGGAATGAAATAGCCCTTTTGGGCACCGGCCCGAACCCCACCGGAGGGAGCGGCTCTCTATCTCCTGGAGAGCAAAGGCGCGCCCCTGGGACTAATTTCCTAGGCTCCCCAACAGGACACAGAGACCCGCTCACCGGCAGAGGATCGCCCGAACCCGAGAAGGAGACCACAGAAGGAGGACTGCTGCTCTTGGTGTCTCCTCTGTCTCTTTCCTTTGCCAGGTGAGAAACCCCGGGAAACCCCCTAGTGGTTAACTTCCGGTTTTGCCTTGTGAATTTGTATTCTGTAAGTTTGGGCAAATACAGCGCAGGGGCCTGATCACCCCTTGTGCTTTGCCATTTGGGGAGGTAGCTTCTTTCATTTGTTTTGGTCACGGTTAGGGGTCACCGGGAGGGAATGTGATAACTTCTGTATAAATGTGTGAGTGAAAGAGTTCTGGACAGGAGAGTGTGTGGAACGAGCTGTGGAACAAGACAGAGGGAGGAAGCGCTTGTGCTTAGAGTCCTCCCCGAGTCATAGAATTTGTGTGTGGTCGCGTTTAACGAAGGTACAATGGCCGGGGATTTAGTTCAGTGGTTCCAGCACCTGCCTTGCAAGCCCAAAGTTCCGAGTTCCATGCCTGGTACCAAAAAAAAAACAAACAAAGGCACGATGGTGAGCTTAGGCGACAGCCCACCTTAGCCTGAAGGGACCTTATAATGGCCGAGAAGCCTGCAGCCAGGCAGGCGAGTGAGTGATCCCCACCTTCGTCTGTCTTGGGTCTCCATACAAAGGTACCCATACACACACCTACACTCTGATCGGCCGGTCATGGGGACAGAAACATCGTGTCCTACTGTTTTGGAATGCATGCTTAGGAATTTTAAGAAAGATTTTACTGGAAATTATGGTATTAAGATGAAACCCCCAAACTTAGAGCCTTTTGTGAGGTAGAATGGCCCAAGCTTTGCCCAGCTTGGCCAACAGGGAGATCCCTAGGTGAGGGTCTCATCTGGTCCATCTGGCTAACAGTCACAAATGTAAGACCGAGGGCCTTACCAAATGCTCCGAGGAGCTGACTGCAGTGAAGAACACCCGGGAGGGAACACACCGGACAAGTTGGAAAATAAAACAGACCTTTATTAGTCTGGCCAGACGGCACTCCCAAAGCAAAGTAGCTAAGCGAGGCAACTGGCTCAGAGTCCGAGGCTGTTTTATAGGGGGTTGAGGGGGAGGTTAACATGTAGATTTACAGAAAAAAAGGAACAAAGGTTAGTGGTCGACTGTCACGTACTGATGGTCAGCAGACATACACACTAATGGTCACGACCGTCACATACTGATGGTCAGCAGACACATTGATGGATTGTTCTACAGGTGGTGGGCCTGGGAACATTCGTTCTCCGGACAAACAAGGGGTTGAGCAATTTTACTTAGGAACTCTGTTTCGTTACAGATTCTATTATCCCAGAACTAACAAGCACATTTTAACTATTAATTTACAAGTACAATAGAGGCTAGGGGAATAATTGATTTTGGATTTATGTAGTCCCACACCACCCCTGGACGGGAACATCCAGCTCAATTTCCCTATATTGATTTAGGGCTCACATTGTGCCACAGAATGCCTCCTTGGCTTCATATGTGCGCCCCGGAAGCGAAAAGCAACATCCTGGTCCTCCGTCAGAAAGGGGACGATGCTGAAAAGTAACTGGTCCTTTCAGATCCGGACCAAGAGAATTTAGACTTTCCCCCTCCTTTTGAGTTCCTAAATTCACAGGTTTGGAGGAGGTGGGGACAAAAGCATGAAAACTGCTTGGCTTCAGAGCACCGTGCTGTGGTCAGACTCAGAGAGGATCAAATGGGGCTTATGCTCAAATTAAAAAAAAGAAATTAGAAAGAGAAAATAAGTGGTGGATTAAAAACAGCTAAAAAAGCTCTGAAGGAAATAAAACAAAGCCAGAGAAAGTAAGAAATTTTACAAGGGTTACAAATTTTAGCTAATTGATAAATGTATCTGTTTCAATTTTAAGTTACAAATTTTAGCTAATTGACAAACGTATCTATGTTTCAGTTTGAAAAGTTACAAATTTTTAGTTAATTGATAAATGTATCTGTGTTTCAGTTTGAGTTGAAGTTTAATTGGTGTGCTTAAAGTATTTCTTGTACATTGCAAACTCTTCAACTGTAATTATAAGGTTAACTTGCTCTTTTCTGTACTTTGTTGATAA